ATGTATAAATGTGTTAGTTCGGTCTTCCATACATGCAGGGAGGCAGACACGGGTATTCACATGGTATTCCTAGATCTGGAGAGACCTCTTGATCGAATCCCAAGTCACACAGTCTAGTGGAGCATGAGAACGAAGCCGGCACCAGAAACATATATTAGGCTTACCAAAGATGTTTACGACAGAGTGACAGCGATAATTCGAAATACAAGTGAAGAAACGGAGGAGTTCTTTTTTGGATAAGATTCCACTAAGGATCTGCATTGAACCCATATCTATTCTCGATGACGATGGATGCGATAACTGATGATCTGCAGGATGCAGCCCTATGTTACTTGCATTATGCAGATGACATTGTGCGGTTCAGAGAAAGTAAGGAAGTTGTAGAAGCTTAAACCGAGTCATGGAAAAAGTCTTTGGGAAGAAGGGTCTTCGAATCGGTGAGAGTATGTCAGGATGTACAGCGGACTGTTTCAGTGATGAGACGCTGTATGAAGAGCAAGAATTCAAATAACTGAGTTCCCTCACTCAAGACAATTGAAAAATCTACTGTGAATAGAGAAATCTGTCGGAAAGGACTTTTGAGCGGCTTACTGTAGGATGAGAGGATGGCCCCTAAATTAAAGTGTGGAGAAAAATATTCTCAGTGCTTCTCTACGAAGCGGGATGGATATGTAGGTGGCCGCAAAATGTGTGCATCATATCTGAAACAGCTTCATGCGAGGAGCGATAGACATAGCGCGAATTTCAGAGAAGCTTGTTGAAAGCAAGCTCCGTTGGCTCTGTCACGTGAAAATAATACCCATTGAGTACATTTGAAACACTGCTTTATTAGCGCAGACTGCTTTATTACCAAGAAAAAATTGGTAAGGATCAAAGAAAAGGCGGCGCGACATCGTCAAGAATAATTTATATGAAACTGCAAGGTATGACCGAATATTTAACTGAACATCGAAAAATGGGGAGGCCGCTGACACGATTAGAAGGTTCCTGACGACGGAAAAAGAAACAAGAAGAGATGTGTGTACATTCAAATTCATGTTCGAAGTCATGGCAAACGAGTAGCGATGAAGGAAACTGATGAGTTGCTTGATGAGGAAGACTCATGGTCCCTGATCGTTAATTAGTCGCACATGTCTGTCACAAGCCACGAGCAGTATGTCGCAGCATGTTAAGAATATCTCTATGTCTTGTATGAATGAGATGTATGTCGTCCAAGTTCGTCTGTGAGATGAATGCTGTCAATAAATGCAAGGAAACTGCGAATTTCGCCGACACATTCTGTATTAGCCACTGAATCAAGTAGACGTAAATCTTCTCGTCATGCCCTTTAAGGTTTGAATTGGGAATGACGTTTGTATGCTCTAATCTGTCGAATGTTATACCTTTCCGTATCTGACACTTACCTCGACATGTTACTTGCATCTTTCGAACAAGCAGGTGCCGGATTTCCTGTTTTACTTTAGCGAGACGAGTTTTCAAAGACTCTAGCTGTCTCCGGATATCTTCTCTACTGGTAAACGCTGGTTCCATTGCAGATATTTAAATGCGGGCACTGGGCAACTGAGATGTCAGGTCAAATTTCGAAAATTCTTGTGAACAGCGGAAGAGAGATGAGGGAGGTTGGTGAAATAGCCCTTTTCGTTGTATATTCAAAGCTGCAGCATTAAGCTCTTCTTAACAATGTACGCTTTTGCTTTTCTCGGTTAAAAATTTTAGTTTAACAAATAGGTAGTAAATCCTTGTTGTGTTGTAATTTGACATGATTAAACGTTATCTACCGTTCAGAGTTGACTCTAACGAACGCTTCACCCTCCGTTATGACAATATTCACCGACTTTAAGAGTACATTAAAAATGATTATTCTGAATTGAAACGACGAAAATGCACATTGTAAAGAAAGAAAAATCTATTTCTCACTTTACACCAGCAGCGCAATTGTACCGCCCCTTTGCTTCTAGACGTCTAGGGTCCATTTAGGCAAACCACAGCTCCATGGCATTCATCGACTGGGTCTGTTGGGTTTGTTGTGTTATAAAATTGTGATTGTTAATGTCCTTGGGAATGGATCAGTTGAATTCAATGGAGAATATGATCCGGAATGTCCGAAAACCTGTATTTATTAAGTTTATTCCACCTTTATGAAGAATTAACCCACCCCCTCCTAAAAGAAAGTGATTTTTAAACAGTTTAGCACTTTCTTTTAAAAATTCTTTATAGCATGGTTTAAATGCTTTAATCTTGTTAATGCTGTAACTACTGTCTATTGATTATTTATGTTTTTATGAGAATTATCTTTCAGATATTTATCTTGATAGTTGGCTTACGATAATACTCTTTAATGTAATATCAGAGCCTGCACGTCTGTTGGTGGTCATGCTGAAAACAGCATAGGGTACACTCTATTTATACACAGCACAAAATCATATTGTCAATGGGATGACTCGTCAGTACCGGTGTTTGTGAATCGCCTGAATAGTGGCTGGGATGAACAGTTTACTTTGCTCGTTTAAAGTACCAGGTTTAAGTTCCGTGCGAATCGTAAGTTTCTTAATAGGTGAAAGTTCTCTTGGTTGAGGAATTTTCCAATTGCACCTCTGTGAAACCAGCCGTCATACAAGGAGGCAGTCGTTGACCTATGATCAACAGCGACAACATGGTGTTCTGTGTGGTCATGTCAAACGGGATGACTTACGATCATGCTGTCTGATGTACCTGATCGTCGTAATCATCATTTTTTCGATTCACTCCTGCATGAAAGTTTCTCCAAGACTTTTCCATAAACTTTTGTTTTCTGCTATATTCGTTCATCTTAGTCCACCAAACTTATTCACTCATCCTGCCATTGATTTTGACATCTTCCGATGGACCATTTACTCTTCCTTAGAAACGAATCTAAAGTCTCTCTGGTTTCTAGCGAGGTTCGGTTCTTCTTACAGCGTGTCCTGCTAATTGCCACCTCAGATTTTCACTCGTCACATACTGCATAGCTGAAGAAAATAAACACCACGTGTCAACCGTGAATTTGACTAAATTAAAATTTAACAGTAAGACGAATGGGCAACAGTTC